TCCCCACGCAGCCTAAAGTCCAAGCTGTCTGCTTGACCTTCCAAGCACAGTTAACATCAGGCAAAAGTGCTGGGCTCCTCAATGGTGCTAGCTCAGTGCCATGTGGGGTCTGTGCGGAAGCGCACTGCCTCTGATAATAAAGAGAGGGGCGTCTTGGCACCTCCCATGCTGCTTATTTCTTGATAAATCCCAGACCCAGTGTAACCGGAAGATTGTGGTGTTGGTTCATGCCGTGGAGTGTGTGTCCTGTCCCATGTGAGAGAGGGCCCTGGCTTGAGCCAGGAGCCGGGCTCTGGGCTTCCATGGCGATGTGTGACTCTCACTGTCTCCTCTCTCTCAGGTTACCCCTCAGAGCCAGGGCCCCAGCCATTGCTGAGGAATGGAGAGTCCTATTTACCTCTCTGAATTCTTTTCTCATGTGCTTACTATAGACCGGGTGCTGAGCTATTTTACATCATTACCTTGTTTAATTTTCACAACAACCCTATAAGTCCCATTTTGCAGATGAGAACATTGAGGCTCAGAGAGGCCAACTAACTTGCCCAGGGTCATTGGACTCCAGCATGGCTGCTCTTTACGACTGTAATCCTCAGCTTTCCCAGCTGCGGACAGGCCCATGGCCTTGAGTTATAAAATCAAAAAGACCTTGACTTGACTCGATAGGGAGTTGAAAAAAATAACACTCCCTTTCCAACTTCCTTCTCTTAATAGAAAATGACTTGAGCAAGAAAGAGAGCAAGCATCCCTGTTTACATGGCTCCTCCCCTCCAGCATGAATATACCAAGACCCATTTGGTACAGAACAAGTCCTCGGACCTAGAGAAATTTTCTTTCCCTCTGAACAGAGAGGGCGTTCTGAGTTCCTCGGCACTGCCGCCACCATGCCAGGGCCAGGCCTTCGGGAGTGGGTCCACAGGGTGCCCTTCCACGGGTGCCTCCCTGGTCCTCCAGCAGCTGGCTGTGACCAGGCAGTGACCAGCTGCAGGCCATGGCCATTTCCCTCTGCTTCCAGGCAGATAGCTGCATTCATGTTAGACTCTGACAGGGAGAACTTACTAGGACAGCTGTCTGCCCAACCAATCTCCAAACTCCTGGTAAACAATTGGTGTTTTCCAGCCAACTGGTGTCTGGTCCCCTGGCCTTTGCCGACCGAGTGGATAACTGGGAACCTAGCAATGTTCTCTTGATTCCATTCTGACCTATAACCCTTTGCTTGTCCTTTCAAGCTGAAGAGCCCTGGCAGGCCTCCTACTCCCCG